TTTTCGGCTGTCTGTTCAACGCTGAAACTCTTCGTAATTTCCTAAATTAGCTATATTGTGCTCTTAAAAATGGGTCTTTTTGGTGCCTTGTTTCATGCTGAGATTTCATCGATATTTAAAGACAAATATTCTTGTGCATTTAAAGTATATCTAATATTACCATATTCCGATGACAGAAATATTTTATAAAATCTATATCTCAGTACTTCTGTCTTGGTTCCGCGTGGCCATTTATATTGCTATTGTACAGATTTAACAAATGTACCATTTCGTAAAGTACGAAATATCTATCGCCTCTGTAAGCAATGCTTTTAATGCTTATTCTTAATAGCAGACTCAGCCGCCTCATGGAAGCCTTTGCGCGGATTCAGGCCTTGGAAGTCTTAGTGCTGCCTCTTCAGCTTCCTCCTATTCCTGGGGTGCATCAGCTACTCCTGAATCAAGTGGGACGATTGGTCTTGGCTGCTCCTTGTCAACTCAAGGGTCATCTACAAGTATGCCCGTTTCAGGATGCGGTGGTTCTACGCCTTCAGGAGCATCTCTTTCGATCACAGAGTCAATCGGGCACAACGCGATTTTGCCTGCTGGACAAAACCAGAGACAAGAAACTTCCAAAGCTCGTGTCTTAGCAGGTTACTTATTCATTATACCATTTTGATGCTTAGTTTACAATAATTGAATATCATCAAAAGGTGAAGTGACCATTAGTTGGCTATATTTGCTCCAGGTAAAGCATATAAATTATACAGCATCTGTAAATTTTGCGGATGCAAGGGCATTCTGAATATAATGCCTTGCAGGAAATATCTTGGGGTTGTAGGCTAACTAAATAAGTTCTGGTCTTTTCTTTATTTGCATAGAAGCTCTGTAATCGGCGACTCTTCCTGCTTGTATTTGTTTGATATAGATTATGTCAAGCTATAATTACCCTTGATAGTAATAATAATTTTTATCATTTATCGATTAATTTTTTTTTTCTCTTGGAAGTCCGCATTTCCCACTCGTTTGCGTCGAGTCATATACATCTTTCTATAGTCACATTTTGAAATCACTAGCTAACTCTGGCCCTTTTTAGTAAATTGTCATTTATATCACAATTTATTTATAATATTTTGTATGTTACTAAGAGTTTGAATTTCTTTACATACTGAATCTGCTACTATCAATCATTAAAATATTACTTTGTGGGCCGATGTTTTTCTCATAATTTTTTGAAAGCTCTCCCGAAACACATTTTCCGAGTTTATTCATATTCATTTCTAAGATTATATTTCTGATCGCCCAGCTATCCCTTAACAAATTATTGTATTTTTTCTTTATCGTACATCATCCAGACCTAATTGCTATTAAGACCATTGCCCATTTCGACTTAAATTTCCATGGTCTGGTTTTC